GCCCTGGCGTCTGTGTAAGGTGTTGTTTGATACAGTGTCGTCCAGCAAATTGTACATTTTAGCAATAATCATCATGTGAACTGATTTTTCTAACACCTTGAATGGGAAATATTCTTTCCTCTTGATTTTATTTATAATGAACCAGTGCAGTTTGTCACCATTGGATGTTGTTGTGATACTGAGCGGCGTCTTTGTGTTTATTTCTAAGCGTATTTACTCTTGTTAACTGATTGTGCTGGTCTTATATTTTTCTGACCTGATTCATAAGCCATTAATTTTTAGTGTGTATCTACATCAGATGAGGAAGACTTTCTTGTTAAATGCTATGAATAGTTTACTAATTTGAGTGATTAAAAATAAATGTGGACTGCTTGGTTTTTCACTCGCTAGTTTGAAAAGACTCGTGTTTATTGCATCCGTCGTGTGATTGTGCGAGTGACGCGGCACGGCCGCGGTGGCGCCTCTCCTGTCTCCCGCGGGCTGCAGTCGCCATGGGCCAGGAGGGGGGCTGGCAGGGGGCCCTGGGTAAAGGTTGCCCAGCTTGATCTGCTTTTGCATTTTCAGCTTCTTTGCTACATTTTCTTGAGAAAGTCGAGGTCGCTTACCCTCCCTGACCCCAGGTCACTGTCACTCGGGGTGGGCAGGTGAGGCCTGCACTCTCCTCTGCAGGGGAGGCGCCCTCCAGTAGACACAGGTTGAGTGTCATGGGAAGCATCCTGCAATTCTTTGCTTTTTAAAGTTGTGCTTAAGGAAAATGAAGACTAAATAACCTAGAGCTGAATTTGCTGTCGACCGAGCTCCAGTGCTCTTGGACTCTGCTCGTGCATGTGTTTGTGCGTGTCGGAGCACATGCATGCACGTGGAACCCGCATCGCATGTGACACGTGGTCCTCTTCAGACTGATGTGTCAGAGAAGCTTTTTGCACCTCTTCTTGGCCCATGACGCCCTGACGTGACCAGGTGCTGTGCGAGCGCTGAGGCCGGTCAGTCTTTGCTGGGGACGTGGCTTTGGACTTTTGTTTCAGAGCCTGTTCAGGCCGTATTTCGGAAATTGGCGTAACGCTGGAGAGTGACCCCCAGGGCTCCTGTGGACTGCGAGCTTGGCCGTCACTGCCTCCAGAGCAGCTTCTGGGGACCGAGAGCTTCCTGTGTGCTCTCTCATTGACCCCACCGCCCGGCATCTTCAAGGAGTTGGCATTACATCCTGTCACTCTGTCTTTGAGGGGCGTCTTACATTGTTAGAGAGACGAGGAAAATAGAAGCTAAACGTCTTAGAAATACAGCGCGTGTGCTGCTGCTGCCGCTGCAGCTCTGCCCCAACCCCGCACCAGGAGGCCTGGCCTGTGGCAGCTCCTGGCCCAGCTGCGCAGGAGGGCAGGAGGGCAGTAGGGAGGCTGGGGTGGGGAGGCTCTGTCTTTCTGCGACTCCTCACATCTGTGTTTATGGTTTTGTTTTATTTATTTTAACAGATCAGTGAGATAATCTTTTGTGACTTTCAAGTTGAAATAATTACTGTTAAAAAACCTAAGGGACTGAAGAGCCTTTATTATATCCACATAAAGCAGAGGGAATATTTTAAAATTTGAGTTAAAATATGAAATATTTATACTGAAAAGTGGAAAACTGCAGGATGAAAATGCTATTTCTGTGCTGCTGCTTAACAGGCGTAAGTGGCGCTATTCACAGTCGCAGTTTCCAGGGATGAGCCCCTTGAATACAGCTGCTTTCTCGGCTGTTTCAAGGCCTTCCTGGGAGGGCGGTGCTTGGCAGGGCTGGCCTGGGGCACCGACGTCCAGCGTGCGGCCTGCCCTTGAGCTCGCACCTGTGGCGTCAGCTTCCTGGTAGGTGTCTGGGATGGTCCCTGTGCTTTTTCACTGAACATGTTCCAAGCTGATATCCTCCCTCGAGCCATCTCGGGTTTTCCCAGACCAAGAACTTTGATGTGTTCTTTCACTCCCCTCTTCTGAAGTCCACAGCCCATCCAGCTGGAAAGTTCTTTGGCTCCAATTACAAAAATACATCTAAAATCCGACCAGATTTCTTCTTTACTGCCAGACTTCAGTCCAAGCCACTGGCGTATCTTCCCTGCTCCTCCCTCCGTCTCAGCCAGCAGCGCAGTCAGAACCTGCTAGATGGGACCTCGGCATGCGTTTCTCCTCACTGGGCTCCCAAGCCAGGCGTTCAGGGCTCTCCCCAGCCTGACCTCTCACCTTCTTCCAAGCCCCTCTCTTGCCTTGTGTGGCTTGCCACGGTGCTAGCAGCTGCCCACACAGCCCGGTCTCGGGGAATGCCCTTTACTCAGTGGCTGGTCGGCCCCGCACCTCCGCCCTCCTGCTCAGAGCTCAGGCTCCCTGCCGACAGTTCAGATCTCTGTGCTCCAGCTGTCCTGTTCCTGAGCTGCTGTCTTTACTTTATCTCCTTCTTGCCCGGGTCTCTCCTAGGCTTTACATTTCCTCAGGCAGGCCTTTCGTTTTTCACCTGAGCAGGTACAGGCGACTGAGTTGCATGGGGTCGCTCCTTTCAAAGTAGGTGGCCGAGCTGGTGTGGGCCTGGCCCGTGGAGTCCCCATGGGGTCCTGGCAGACCCAGTGCTGCGTTATCCCGTCGAGAAGCGATAAGTTCTAGAATGAAAGCTCCATGCAGGCCTGCTGCTGGCTGTCTGCATTTACTTCCCACCTGCAGAGCCCACCTGGGCCACCGCCCTTCGCCCTCAGGGAAGGCGCGTTTCCTCAGGGGAGGCATTTCAGTGGGACAGCTTTTCAGAGTGGGGCTATGTTTGTTTTCTTTCTCATGGTATCTAAATTATAAATCTTCCCAAACAATTTATGTTAAACATTTTAAATCAATACTCTGCTGATGGCAGTGAAACAGGCAGCCTTCAGGAAGCACAGACGCTGGCCAGGGTATGTCCATGTAGGCTGATGAGTTCATTTTGTCCGCCATGCTTGGCTTAGACTCTTTACTCAGGATGAATGATGCTGAGACTTTTTATATTATTCATACTTTAGTTAGACCAACTGTAAAGAATTTATACATTAAGTCAGATTTTCGATGAATATTTTGCATGTGACAAAACTTAAGCCGTACTTTAAAATTTTTTTTATAAAACATGTATGTAAATACAAAAAATTACTTTTTTCTGTAATGGAAATTGTTTTCCCTGTAAATATTTGGTATTATATGCACTCGGCAGATAATGTAAGAATATTATTTTAGGTTAAAGCTTTCCCTCTTGATTTACTTTAGTTTGTTCCCCTGTGCAATGTAATATTTTTATTTCAATCCTTAAAACAAACATTTTAATTAATAAAATTTTTTTCTATTAAAAATTGCACTGTGGTTTCTAAAGCTCAGATCTCTTAAATTATACTTGGTCATGTAAATAAGCTGCGCTTTGCAACTTTGGGTTCTTAACCTTTGCTCTTTGCTATTAGCTTTATGTTTTTTTAATTATAGGAAAATAGAGGACAGTAGGGAAGTATGACTTAAGTAGACTGTTGTTATTACTGTATTCTTTTTTAAGGAAACAAAAAATGTCATTTATCTTTTTCAAATCAAGCAGAAACAAATTCAATCTTATACTGTTAATTTTACTAAGCATTCAATATCATCACAGTTTGATTCTTCATATGTAGTGATTTTTTTCATTTTAGTCATCAATGGTGTGATCAGTAATTGATTGTCATAAAGCATGTATTGTCCATTGTTATTGCTTAATAATTAAGAAGACTATGTTACTTTCAGGATATGTAAATGCATTATTTGATTAATGAAGTCAGTCATTTTAAAAATGCAAATATATTATTTTAGCCTCAAAATTAAGATTCTTTAATATTATATGAACGTAGCCAAAATAGACCAGATATGAAAAGAATCATTCACCGTTTTAGAAATCGTTTCATTCGTGGCTTTTGTCATAGGCCTCTTCCATAAGGCCACAGAGCACTGCAGTCTTTCCTTGCTTGTCTGTGCAAACATGTCCAGATGAATTCAGTGTTTAATGTTAAGAATCTTATAACATGCCAATTTGATTTGTAGCCCTTCATATCATAGAATGCTAATTAAAATCATATTTTTGCATATGTCATGCCTTTCATGTACATATGCAAATAAATTCTATTGCCTTTCAGCTATTAGTAATTAACTTTATGAAGGACAGCTGTAATACATAATTAACAAAAATGTTTGCAAGCCCTTTTACACCGAAAGTTACAACAGCAATTTTTTTTTTTGTTGTTTTGCTTATCAAGAGAGCCATTTTAGTCTGATGCTTCTGAATGAGATCTAAATTGTTTTAAACAGTCACATGGCATAATTAAGTTGATGCTGTGCTGTGTACTCAGTAAAGAACGGTGCTCCATGCACTGGCTGCCAAGTCTTGTCCATTTCTTATTTATGTCAACAAAATTGAATTAAGTAATCTGATTTGTGTATGAAATAAGATAGCATGTCAGGTAATACTTTTTGTTTGTTTTAGTTATTGATATCTTCTAGGCACTTAAGTACTTTTTTGTGTGTGCTACAGACACAATAAACATATCATTTTAAAAAACCTGTTTTCAAATTATTATCATGTTTCTAAGGAAGCTTGGTGAAAGCTATTCATTTTCTCCTTTATAGTTCCTTGAATATTTAATAAAATGACATTTTCTCAAATCATTTCATGATTGAAGTGTGGGATCAACCAGGGGGCAGAGAATATTACATTGAGATGTTGCTTTATCTTTCTTACCGACGGACAGTGATGGCAAGGACTGAAGAACTGACATGGCCATCGGGGTCACTGTTGGCACAGCCGCGAGAGCCGGTCGGGTCTGTTGGGGTGCAGTTTCTGCTCTGGGGTGTCGGCGCCGCCACGGGCCCAATTCGCAGCAGGCTTGTGTCAGCGTGTGCGCATTTCCCGTTCAACCCTGTACCTCGCCAGGTCGCTAATACTTTTGTACATGTTGTTAGCAGAAAGTCACGTTTTAGTTGTATAATTACTTCTCTCTCTCTTTTTAGGGTTGCTTTTGTAATGAAGAAGCACCTAAATACTCATCTACTAGGCAAACATGGAGTGGGCACCCCAAAAGAAAGGTAATTGCCACCCACTGTTTTGGTTTTTTGTTGTTGTTTTTGGCGCGTTTTACAAATACAGTTGATTTTCATTTTAAGTTTTGGTTAGCGGGGTGACTTCTTGACTGTTGATCGAGTCAGTTCACCATGTTTTGTAATTGTGGTACTTAGACAATGCTGTCACATGTTTTGCCACCCTCCCATAAAAATTTAATGTCCTGTTTTAATTTAAAAATCTGACCTACAAATATTCAAAAGAATCAGGGGAACTTTGAATTGTGAAACCAGGAGTGTTAAGAAAGAGGGGACTGACCTCTGTGAATGATTAGGAGAAGCCAAGGCAAATATGCAAGACTGCGTGTCTGTTTTTTCCTGTATTTTTATTTTTGAGGTTTTAAAATAACATTTTAAAATTCTTACCATTGAACTACATATTGCTGATATTAATAAAGAAATACATCTTGTGTCATCCCTCAAATAATACTGCACTTGCTATGTCATGAAAAATAACACTACAATTATTATGTCATCAACTGCCAGGTTTTCTTTTCTCCTGCGCCTGCAGCATAATTAGCGTCATCACGCAGACTTAATTGTGGTAGGTGAACTCAGCAAGCCCTGCAGCTACCAGGTGAGCGAGGATGCTTGGGAAGTGCTTCCACCTTTACAGCGAGCCATCTCCCAGAGCTGCTGCCAGCTCACCAGCCTCCCCTCAGGCGGAGCCAGTCCCCTCTCTCCTCCCCGGTCCTCCGTCCTCCGTGGAGGGGACCGACGTTCTGCAGAGGCGCCGGGCAGCTTGTCTTTGTACTGTCTTAAAATGTCGACAACAAACAAACGTACTGCCACTCCCAGGCCTAGGGCCCTTTCTGCCACTTCGGTTGGTAGATGTTTAATGGCCTTTTAAAAACATTTAAAATGCTCTTGCCAGTATTTTCTGTGTGTGCAAGGGATGTCATGTGACTTCTCCAGCAGCGTGTTCTTCGCTGCAGCGTGGCGTCGTGAACACGGCGCCGTGTCACATACTGGGCGTGTGTCTGCCTGCTTTATGCCTTTTGGAATCTCACCCTTTGAATCCCACTGTGAACTTGAACCAAGATATACATGTTGAAATATGTAAAATGCATCACATATGAAACTGAAAAAATTTTATATAATTTAAAGCCTAATTTGGAACTGTCAAAGTTGTTTCATAAATGTTTAAAAAAGTAGAAACAAAATATATCCCTAATTCTGTGTTCTCATTGATTTCACACGCATTATTTTAATTATCTGACATCCCTTACTAGCAATGCATCATGAGTCCCATTTTATAGCTCTAAGGACTGAGATTCAGAAATATATAATAATTCACTATCTCATGACTGATTGTTGCTTTTCTTAATCTAATTCTAGTGCTTTTCCTCAGACTAATTATATTGTCTCACGATGAGAATTTTTCCATACAGGTACGTAGGGTGTATTATTCATCTAATAAATTTGAGTGCAGACCACCTAAGTCAGGTAATTTGTAGAATAAAATACTTCCTTGTTATACCTATGACTAGAATACATTTTAACTCAAAAGTTTCATTTTGCTTTTTTCATATAAGTGAAAAACTTACCACCTTATACATGTATTTACCTACCAAACACCTTAAAAATCTCAGGTACCTCGTTTATGCTGTGATATGAGTATGAAAATTCCAGCTGTGCCCTGTTTTCTTTTTCCACGTTCCTCTCTTAGAGGAATGGAGAGGTGACAGCGAGGCAGGAGAGAGACAGAGGCGTGTCTTTCTCCTCTCTGAGACGTGCCGAACTGTTCCTCTGACATCGGCAGCCTTTGGTCCCCAAATCACTTTGAAAACAAATCTCAAATGCAAAAGTTCACCCATCTTTAGGTTAACTTTCAAGAATTCCAGATGGCAGAGTTCATTTAAGTTAAACATCTTTGATCTAATTGTTTGCCCCATTAAAATGCTGGGGTTTCAGCGTTCGTTTTTCTTGCTTATGACATGTTTATTGTAGCGCGGTTTTCTCATGTCCAGAGGCCCTGAGTTGGGAAGCCAGGACCTCAAGAGCAGCAAGACCTGCGTGGTAGGAGTGGACTAAGACTTACATAGCAGATCTAGCGTGATAGATGCCAGGGGGTCTTTGGGGCCACCCCACCTGCTTCCATTCACTGGGAAGGGACTTGAAGCCTTTTCCGGGTTTTAGGAAACGGAGACTCCCTCCATCAGCATGTGAACTGTTGTTACTCGGGCACAAGCGGTCTCGAAATTAAGTTGCACATTTTTTTAAAACATTATTTAAAACATTCCTGCCTTGGCTGTAATTTTGCAAGCTTGCTATATTTTAATTTCTTCAGGACAGTATAATCAGTTTATTTCTTTATATTTTGAATTTGATTCTCTCCTCTTACGCATTGCATATTATAGCAAATAGTAATAGAAGTTAGCTAAATAGGCTGTGACAATTAAATTAATAATGCATTTTGTTTGCAAGTATTTAGGCCTTGTGCTTTGACTGGTATATGCAAAAATGATAATTTATGACAAATAGATTCATACTGTTCTTTGATGAATCAATAAATTTTGTCAGCATGACTGTCGTTAGCAGAAGACTAAATAATTTCAAATATGTTTTTTGTCTTCATGAACATCTGAAATGATAGATTGTGTAAGAACATACTTTTTTGTCTCTAAATTTGCCTCTAAAATTTGTGTCTCTTATTTGAGGCAGTATGTTTCTGTATTTCTGCAGTCTGGTGCACTTAAATATAAACAGCTAAATATAGCCACGCTCAATTCACATTCCAAAATAATAAACTTCAATTAATTTGCAAGTTCATTCTAAAGTATTCCTTATCTTAAATAAGTACTTCTCTTTTCAGCATAGTAAGCCCAACGATCTTTATGACTCTTTGAATTTGCTAATAGTAATCTGGAAGACGAGCTTATCCACAATTATCACAATTGAAACAGCCATAATAAGTATATCTTATGTGAAAGCCAGGTGCATACCACAATAGAAAGAGATGGCGTTCGTAGCTCAGCGCTTGGAAATCAGCTGGGCTTTGAATGACTGTGTAAAGAGGAGGAGGGGAAGAAGCAGCTCTCGGATTTCTGATCGGATCCGTTGCTTTGTGCTGTCCCCCCCACGAAGAGGACATCTCTCCGCCAGCACACTCAGGAAGGTGGACGTGATCTCCAGGCCTCTTTTACCCGGAAAGGATTTCAGATTGGATGCATGAAATGGAGTCTCTGATTTAAATAATGTCATAATTAAAAGAAATAGATGTCTTTGCATGTTGTTTGTGAATATCGAGACCAGGACCTTAGCTGTTTTTCAGTGAAGCACTTCTTGGGAGGCGTCTGTGAAGGTTCTAGGTCTCAGTGCTTCAGGGTCTCAGCCCAGCTGTGGAATGTTTAGGCCCTGAGGGCGGGATCGCAACCCACCAGGGTGGGTGGGTTTGTTCTGCTGGGGGAGGGTCTCCCAGGCCTCCTTCCCATTACTGATCCCTGGGATTTGTGGGGGCGTTCTGTTTCCTTAGACATTGGAAATTTGGGATTAGCTAGCATCCTTTTACCAGCAGCTGCGATTTCACTGATGAGTATGTCCCCCCCTACAGTCCAGTACGCAGCAGACACCACCTGTGTGGCCGGGACAGCCATCCTGGCAGCCTGTTCCTTGACTGACCGGAAGGTCCAGGGCCTGCAGAGGCCTTGGGCAGTTCATTCTGCCCAGTCTCTTTTCTTCTCATTGTGCAAAAAATTTTAGTTTAATGTGTCACAAGTTCTATATATGCTTTTATATGAAAGCTTCATCGTTTCTCGCTTTTCAATTTAGATGTAAGCCTCATCCTTTTTCTTGGAACCTGAAAATTTGCCATCCAAAATCCCGACGTTCCTGGAGAAAGCACGTATACGTGTGCGGGCTGTTAGCATTACAACTTCTGCTGACAGTGGCTTGGGTGGGTTAGAGACTTAGGTTACTTTTGCGTGAGGGAATAGTACATTTTATAATAAACTCTGAACTTCTGTATTTAAATAGACTCAATTTTTTCCTATCAGAAGAGATTCTGTTCATACTCTGGGATTAATTTCTGTTATTGCCCTTTGTAGAGAAATACCTTGACTCTCGCTAACAAGTTCTTACTGTATCTGTTTTGTTTCGTGAAAGCTGGTTTCCTCACCATGTATTCCATGTGCGTTCCTGTGCAGTCAACACTGTTTCCTGCTTTATCCCTGGAACGGGTGCCTGTTCTCGCAGGGCGCCAGGCCTCTCTCCTGTGGTTTGGGCCCCTCGTGCCCCCTGCGGCGCCTCCCAGCCTGCCTCACCCTACTTGCCTCCCCTCGGCTTGCTGGTCTTCCCGCTTGTTTCTGCTCTTGCGCTCATGGTTCGCAGTGTAAAAAAAAAAAAAAGGCCCCAATTTAGGAAAAAATGAAGTGTTTTTAGGGAAAAAATGAAGAGTTTGTCTGCCTTAAAAATATTTACACAAGAAATAAGTCTTTTGAGCCAGAATGGAGGAAAAACATGTCAATTCTTTGGATCTCCAATGGCTTATTTTAATGGCATTGGTTTTTTGTTTGTTCATTTTGTTTCGGTGGAGAAGTAGAGTCAGAGAGACAGCCAGCCCTGCTAGGCGATTCCTTCCTGGAAGGCTGGACAGGATTCCATTAGTTTACTCACAGCCAGGGTTATTATTTTTAGAAAATCTCCCTTCTATCTTTTACACTCTTAAACTGGCAGCTTGTTAAGGTTCTAACGGGGATAAATGTATATTTCCCACCAAAGTTCTCTTGCCAGCATCTGGGAGTGTGTCTGGAGTCAGGGGAGGGCCCGCGTGCTCTGTTGCCCTGTGACAGACGTGGTGTTGCTGAGTGGCCATGCACACTCCTGCCAGGTGAGAGTCGCCAGGTGCTGTCAGCAGGGTGGGATGCTGGGGTGTCTGCTCCTCCTCTCTGGAGGAGGCCACTGGCCTTTTGGGGAGGCCTCGGACCTAGTTACAAACCCTCCCTGTGGCTCACCTCCCTCCACGGCCG